GCTTTTCCTTGATGTGTTTTTGAGCCTGCTGGGGCTCGTCAGGATTTGTCTGTCTGCCCGTCCCATTGCCCCAGCTTAGAGCTTTGTTCCCACAGTGCTGGACCAGCCCACACCATCTCAAAGCCCCCATGACCCCCCAGCAGCCCTGATCTCCATCTCTCCCAGGCTCCATGAGCCATTTCTCTACTCTCCTTTGCCACATCCCATTAAGCACCCATGCAAGACACCCTGGGATTATCTCAGGCTGTGTAACGGAGGAGCAGATGAACTGTGGGCTGCCAGTTTATGCTACACTGACAAGAGGCACATTAACAAGGGTCTGAAAAACTCACAGCCTAAAGGGGCCCTGGCACAGACAGTGAATTTATAGCCAGAACTGGTAGTATCAGAGCCTTGGCAAAATACACTTGCAAAGCCATGTGCTCAAAATAAAGATACCCCTCTGCTTTCTTCCCTTTCTGTGTCCTCTCCTTCCTCTGTGCCCTGTGGACCCTATTTCCTGAGGTATGAGCATCTAAACCCTCTTCTGAAAAGATCTGAGGCAGAAGGCATTCAGATGCAGGTAGCTGACCTGAAGGCTGTTCATACTGCTCCTTCCTCTCATTATTTAAATCTGCCTTCTGAGTTCTTTCTTAAAGTTCTTCAAGGACAGTTTAATATTTTCAGCTCCTGAAGATTTCCGTTTTCCATCGGAGTTCAGTAAAGCAGCAGGCTTGTAAGTGCAACTAAAATTCCCAGTTTAAACCCAAGGTTTCTTATGAAAGATCAGCCATTCATTCCCAAATCCCATCCTTTATAGAATCATAGAATCGTAAAATAGTTAGGATTGGAAAGGACCTTAAAACTTCTCCTTTCTTATTTCCAGTTTGTCTTTTGGAAACTAGGAATCCTGAGCACTGAAGTAATCCAAATACATCTACATGTGATAAGAACAATACATTTCGCATAATAAATGGCAAGTCTTGAGACTAATTTTGATAGCACAAAATTGCCCCAGCAAGAACTTGGCTCCCAATAATCCCAGCACCTGCAGACAGACCTGTCTGTTTAAGAGCACAACTCAGCTCAGCTCAGCAAATTACCATAGGAAGGAAATGTTAGCAGTGGAAAAGTAACTCACCTTGTCTGTGGAGGCTCTGCAGAAGGAGAGGAGCTGAGTGAATGAGTTGCTCTCCCATCCGAGAACTTTTATACAGTTCCTAACTCCCTTCCTGAAAATGCAATAAACCCCTGAGGAAAAATGACCAATGTATTTACAAAACAGCCCCACCCCTAATTATCCCCCATCTTCAAAGCTTATTCAACCTGGTTTCTTTGATTGACTTGTCATACAGTAGATTGTCTTCCTTGTGTTACACAGTTTTAATTGCAACCCTGCCCCATGCAGGTTGTAATGCAAGAAGAGTGAAAACCGTGTGGGTGGTTTGACTGTCTCACTGTCATGCCAGGATGAGTTTGAGGTTGCAAAATGGGTGGCAAAGGTAGTGCTTTTTTGGGTTTCTATCCTCCTGAAACCTCTTGCCCAAAGTCTGGAAGGGATGAGAGGTCACAATGACCGGTCACCTCTAAGTGCTCTTGGCAGGACTCGGTCTTGCATAGTGGACAAAAGGCACCACTTTCTGGTCCTCACCATAGAAATTGGTGAGTTTTTATGTGAGTTTTTATGTTGATGCTGGAGTGGGACTCTTTATCAGGGAGTGTAGTGATACGGCAAGGGGTGATGGGTTCAAATTGAAACAGGGGAAGTTCAGGTTGGAGATAAGGCAGAAATCCTTCCCTGTGGGGGTGGTGAGATGCTGGCACAGGTTGCCCAGAGTAGCTGTGGCTGCCCCATCCCTGGCAGTGTTCAAGGCCAGGTTGGACACAGGGGCTTGGAGCAACCTACTCTAGTGGAAGGTGTCCCTGCCCATGGCAGGGGTTGGGAACTGGATGAGTTTTAAGGTCCCTTCAACCCAAACCAGTCCATGACTCTGATTCTATATCTTCTGAAAGCAACTTTAAAGTTGTCTTCACCCTCTAAGGCATCTGCAGGTGCCAGAAGCTTAGCAGCCAAGGGTCCCCCCTTGATCTCTGCTTTCTGACTGTGTCATTGCCCAGAGCAATAAAAGCAGGATAATGAAGCCTGTGGCGACTGTGGCTGGCTCCAAGAGCTACAACTGGAAAGTGACCTGGCAAGGCCAGGTAGCGGTATAGGCCACTTTTGGGTGTCTTGACTTATACTTGTGAATACCCCCAAAATGTGGTGCAGTTTCTCTACCTGTGTCCATCTACTTCATGTCTGATTTTACAACCATTTCACTGATATTGACATAGTCACCCCTGATTTTCACTGCTGGCATTTTTCCTGGCCAACACCAAAAAGCCTTGACCAGAATTGCTCTTTTAAAATGTCTGCTTTTCTACTATTCTAATTGCTTTTTCGTTTGCCTGCCTCTGAAGCAGCCATTGTCTGTGATGGGAAATGCGTGCCTCTTAAGAACCCTCTTAAGCAAACCTTGCACCCGTGAGTAAGCTGTGAGTAAAGTGCTAGCTCGGAGACCACGTCCCAGAGCTCACCATGCATCTCAAGCTCACACAGCTCTTCCCTAGGGCAGGATGGGTGCACCCTGGTTGCAGAGCAGTGAACTGGCCCTGGTGCAATCAGCTGTGCAACCACGTCTTTGCAACAGCCCCGGTTTCTCCTTTTCCCTCCCATTAGTAACTTGACTGCAGTTTTCACCCTGTGTTTTTACTCATTTTGCACCTAACCCCCTCTGCAAGCATGGGAGTCAAGGTTTTGTTGGGCAGAGATTGACTGAACATCTGAATCAGAGGGGTGGCTCCCACTTGCTATCGCCAAACAATTTATTTAGCTTCTATCCAGAGGCACCAGTTCTGACTTTCATCAAGAAGCCAGATTAGTGTTTACCATTCAACCTGCCTGTTTACTAACAGCCAAAGCAGAGGGGGCCATGGATTTTGCAAGCACCAACACGTTCGTGGACAAGAGTCCTGCGTTATCACAGCTCGTCATCCATGAAGAACGATGTTGCACAACAAATGAGGAAGAAATCTGCATGTACAGATGCACATGTGTATCCTGAATGTAAAATCCAGCCTCTGCCTGCTCCTACCCTCATGCTGAAGATGAGCTCTAGCCGCCCTAGCATGCAGAAGGCGGCAGTGGGATGCAGCCCCAGCTCCTTGTGTTCAAGCTCTGGGTGTAAGAGCATCCTCCTTCTCCCTGGATCTATTATATTATCACAGAATCACAGACTGGTTTGAGTTGAAGGGACCCTAAAGCTCATTCAATTCCAAACTCCTGCCACAGGCAGGGACACCTTCCACTAGAGCAGGTTGCTCCAAGCCCCTGTGTCCAACCTGGCCTTGAACACTGCCAGGGACGGGGCAGCCACAGCTTCTCTGGGCACCCTGTGCCAGCGCCTCAGCACCCTCACAGTTGTATCATTGAGCTCAGTCAACAACTAAGCTTGTGGAATGCTTTTTGATACAAGCCTCAAAGAACCAGCCAGATGGGGCAATGAATAAGGAATGTACTTTTAAAGTGTTTTCTGGTTTTGGGATGGTTTTTGGTCAGTTAGTTGAATAGACAAGAAGTTTTTCGATAGTCCAGGCTCTAATCAGTGTTCTGGAAGTCTCTGGGAAGTTGTTCGAGTTCCTTCACTACCTTTGGTGCTATCAGGTAAAGTAGGGAAAATAACAGGAATCAATAATGAAGTGGTAGATTTTAGAAATACAAGTGGATGCAAATAAATGATATCACGAACTAATTTTAGAATGGAATTTAATATGGCTGGTGACAAAACCTTGTGTAACGTTTCCTGTGCCACAGGCTTGCAACATTTTACAGCATGAATGATACCCACTGTGGCACCAAACACGTGGCTGGAGCTCAGAGGATTTTGGGTTTTGTAAGCTGTGGTGTTTTACAAAAACCAGGGCAAAGTTTTCTGGGTTTTTATTGAGCTGAAAGGGTCAAAATCCCTTTCACAGGTGGGTGAAAAATATTATACAGTGTAATTTTATCCTCATTAGTGTCCCTTTTAAATGGGCACAGATCTATGGGTGGGTCTTTCCCTTCGTTACCAATATTTGGAGGAGTCAAAAAAACCCCAGGGAACAGTTCTGGAACACAAAGTTTGGCAAATACCATGTAACAACCTGCACCGAATGTTCAAGCCTCCCTCCTGTGCCCCATCAGCACAGGACAGAGGAACCATCTTTTCCCTGTGCCTAATTTAGGGCCTGATCCTATCAAATGAAGCAGGTTAATGCAAAGAAGCAAACGAGCTTGTTTGAGTTGCCTCATCTGGTGCAAGCAGAAGGTTTACGTGCTCTTGTCTTACAACATCACCTGCAATCTCTCTGGGCCATGAGCCTGGTGTGTAATTGTTTCCAAGTAAACAACTCTGCACTCCCAAGGTCACCCTGTAAATAGCAATCAATTGGAAATCACCTGGGTATTCTGCATATCTCCTTAATGTAGCTCATGGGGTCTGGCCATGGAGAGGGTCTCAGCAGGACACAGCATTTCCATTTGATGGGAACTGCATGGGGGAAGCTCTGAGTTCAGGAAAAGCAAAACTAAACCCCTTCTCTTGCTGTTGAAAATGGTTTAATTCTATTAAAATAGATACTAGATTTGAGTATGGTTGTAAAATACATATCAAAAATGCTTGAGGATAAATCTTGTTAAGTGGACTTAGTAAGTATCTGGATTTTGAGTGGAGCCAGAAATAAAAGGAATGATTCAGATACTGGAAGTTCCCATGGACTATGAAGTTTTATTTTCCAGCCCATGAGCAAAAGGAGATGGAAAGAAGACCTTTTCCCTGTCACCAAAGCACAAATCACTTTTCCCAGCAGTGCTTGCAGCAATGTTTCTAGCACAGCCCAATGTGGGGAATGCAAAGCTCACTGACTGTAATAACACAGTTGGGTTTGTGCATTGTGGCATAGTCAAGGCACTTTTGCTTGAGCAGGGGTGGCTGCTGGGTCCGTCACTTCTTCTGGCTGGGGGGCCAGTGGTTGCTCTGCTTGCTTTGCTGGGCCTCAATGCTGGGAATCACCACGGGGCATTTCTGCTGCACGACCTGGGAGAACTCAGAACCTCCAGAGCTGAACTCTGGGCATGAGTATTCCCCCATGCCATAGCCTGATCCCACGCTATAGTGCCCCGATCCACCACCTGCCCCTGGGATACATCTCGGTGATGAATCGTATCCGTATCCAGAACCTTCTCCCGCAGTGATGCCCAATCTATCACAGTGGCGGCCAGATCCTCCACCACCCCCTGAGCCAATGATGTTCCGGCATGAGTCCTCACTGCTGTACCCTGTTCCTCGCCCACCACCATAGACAGATACTGTCCCCCTTGCAATGCCCCAGCCAGATGTCCCCCTGCTGTCACTGCTGGAGATTACAATGGATCCATCACCACTAGATCTGTACCCCCCTGATACGCTGTAGGTGGATGATGTTGGCCTGGGTTCCAAGGATGAAGCTCCCCGGCTGTACACGACTGAGCCTTCCCCACCACAGAAGAAGGAGCCATGTCCCTCGATGCTTGGGAAGCCCCCACAGCTGCTGTGGTGGGAGGAGATCTCATTGCCATAGCCCCTGTTTCGCCGGCCACATCTCATTCTCCCTCGGAGATAGTGGTAAATCTGAAAGAGGAAATAAAACTGAAACTCAGACTTGCACCATTTTGCTTCATGGCAGGTGGGGAGGTTTCAGGTGGTATGGTCAGAAAAGCTGGGATTGGGCCTGGGGTAATGCCAGGCTTCAAAACTGAGTTCTGCCTAGCTGTTCATCAAATGCAAGAGAGTTTGACTTTTACTTGCAGAGCTTTTCTCTTTCTTATTTCCAGGGTGTATTTTCAGAGGAATCAAAACCTGAAACATATTCTTTTAACATCTGATAACTGCCATGGTTTTCTCCACTCATCTTCATGAGCTGTAACCCCAGAGCTGCAAAAATAGCAAGGATTAGCCTTGCTTCTGTTTCTAAACCATTGCCAGAATGGTGGATCCAAATTTCCACGCAAGATGACATTGCTGTATTGTTGCCATCATTGCGAGTCAGCCCCAAAAATCTTTTACATAAAGTAATCAGCACAAAGAAGTATGTAACCATTATAAGATTCAGCATAGGCTTGTTGTTTTATATCAAGAATGTGCCCAGCACATTGCAAACACCTTCAAAACTGTAAAGACAATGCAGTCACCACATGCTGGTCCAATTACAGACTCAGCTGAGTTTTTAGCCTCTTTCAGCCCTGCGACCTGGCTTCGCCTTGCTTCCTAGTGATCTGATCCACACCAAAGCAAGAAACTGTACAGATCCTGAGACCCTCGCTGTGGATTGTCAGGCAGCATGGGTACTTCTGCAAGCATGTGTCAAAATCTTGGGTGAAGCTATCTCCTGTGAGTATGAAAAAATAAAGACTCAGAAAAGAGCAGACTTACCCTTCTCAGCCATTGGAAACACATTTAGAAGCTAAAAGTCGACTGAATGAGGAGCTTTAACACACAGGAGCTTTTATATGGCATTTAGCGTATATGGGAAGTGAGACACACTGAGGAATGGCAAGGATTTATTTACCAAACTCTGATTTCAGTGTTTGCTTTGACTCATGACATCTGATCAATATCTTTTCTTCACACTGCTTGTTGGGTTGCATGTGGCAGTAATTGCTACTTCTGCTTAATGATCCTATTCCTGTGCTCCTGCCCTGCGCTATGGAGGACCGCTTTGGCCCACAATGAAGTGGTGATGCTGTTGGAGACCAGGGGAGGTGGGTGAGAGGGTGAGTGTGGGGAAATGTTGAGCAAGAATGTGGGGCAGAGGATGGTGGTGATCAGGTCCTACTCAGTAAAG